GTGTGTGTGTGTGTGCGCGCACGCATTTGCATTTGTATAAAGGAACACACATTTGCATGTGTATAAAGGAACACAAACATATGTACATCAAAAGATGGACATTCATTTGGAAAAGTTACTTTTCTAAAAAGCAGAGTATTACCAGTCTTATAAAAATTTACAAAAGACAACTGCTCAAAAATGATTCTGAAACAATAGATTTCTCAGCCAAAAAAAATTGTTTTTCTAAAAATATAGTTCTTAAAAGAAGACAATTAAAAAAAAAAAGAAGCCAATTCAAAAACTTACTGGTATCTTATGATATGCAAAATCTGGAATGACTTTTCTTTGGGAAAATGTTAGAAAAAATAATATTTTTAAAAGGAGGTAAAAGAACTGGATACTATTATTATTGTTTCTATACTCCTACTATTTTGAACTAAAATTTAGCCTAACTGCTGCTGTCCTCTACTGTTACCTGACAACACACTGTAGGACCAGGGGAAAAAATCAGAATAAAAAACAACTAAATAGCTGTTCACTTTCTGAGAATCTGTGGCTACTCTTGTTAATCATTATCCCCAGGTTATTTGTCTAAACAGGGAATGACCAGGAAAGTTAGCTGAGCTCCAGACGAAACAGCTTGTTAGCCATCCTTGAATAATTATCTAAGCTTTCCAGGTGTTTTTTTCTAGATTACTGTAATTTTTAAGGAAAACTTAAGTTTGCCTTCCTTTAACTTGTGATTTACAGGCTATTTAAATACTCTCAAAGAATTGGAAAAATCAAAAAGAGTTACTTGAAAGTAAATCTGCTCTACTCATTATCAAGAAACAATTACCAAGCACTGTACATTAGCAAGGCACAATGCTACACTAGGTACTTAGGATTCAAAAACACTTTAACACATAATCCCTGCCCTCCAAGGATTAGACTAAAGTAGACACGCAGAGATGAATGTCATATTGAAAAACTAATATTTTTAAAAGTACAAATTAGTACACCAGTGTCTAAGGCAGCATTATCTACAATAGCCAAAGGAAGCAACTTAAGTGTCCATGGACAAATGAACACATAAACAAAATGTAGTCTGTACATACACTGGAATATTATTTAGGCTTAGAAAGGCGGGAAATTCTGATGCATGCTACTACATGGATGAAACTTGAGAATGTATCATGCTAAAGTAAAATAAACTGGTCACAAAAAGGAAAATACTGGATGATTCTATTTATATGAGATATCCAGAGTAGTCAAATCCATAGAGATAGAAAGCAGAATGGGAGTTCACAGAGGCTGCAGGGAGGGAAAATTAGGTAGTTATTGTTTAATGGCTGAAGAGTTTCAGTTTTACAAGTGAAAAAGTTCTAGAGATTAGTTGCACAACAATATGAATATAACTAAAAATACTAAATTGGACACAAAACTGATTAATACGGTGGGGGAAGGGACAAATTGGGAAGTTGGGATTGACATATACGCACTACTATACATAAACTAGGTAAGTAAGAAGAACCTACTGTATACCACAGGAAGCTCTATTCACTACTCTGCAATGACTTCTATGGGAACAGAATCTAAGAGAGTGGATATATCAACATGTACATGTATAACTGATGTGCTGTGCTGTCCAGCAGACACTAACACAACACTGTAGATCAAATATATTCTGATAAATCATTAATTCAGTTCAGTTCAGCCGCTCAGTCGTGTCTGACTCTTTGCAATCCCCTGGACTGCAGCATGCCAGGCCTCCCTGTCCATCACCAACTCCTGGAGTTTACTCAAACTCATGTCCATTGAGTCAGTGATGTCCTCCAACCATCTCATCCTCTGTCATCCCCTTCTCCTCCTGCCTTCAATCTTTCCCAGCATCAGTCTTTTCAAATGAGTCAGTTCTTTTTTAAAATTGTGGTTAAATGCATATAATGTCAAATTTACCATATTTATTATTTATTATATTTTTATTATCTATAAATTTTAAAAGGCACAAATTGGTATATGCCAAGGGCCAAGGAAATAAGACAGAAAAAAAATGATACAGCTCAGACCAAAAAGCAATTATGAGAAATGGAACAAATTCAGTGAGAACTGTATTTATTTTACAAGAAAAATAAGACTCAAGTAAGCAGACAGGGGATGAAGGCAGGTATGACAACCAGAAGCAATGGCAAACAGTAGCAGACATCATCTAGAAACATAATGTAGATCACAGTTTGATTCGTAGGCTTCAAACAACAGCCAGGGAGATGAGCTAGAGAGTAAGGCTATGAAGGAGAGAGGAAAATGCTTGAGGCAATTCTCACTGAATAGCAAAATGGTACTAGTCGCTCAGTCAAGTCTGACTTTTTGCGACCCCATGGACTATAGCCTGCCAGGCTCCTCTGTCCATGGGATTCTCTAGGCAAAAATACTGGAGTGGGTTGTCATTTCCCCCTCCAGGGGACCTTCCCAAATGTACATAAAGGAGACTTCATTAATGTGCATTAAAGGACACCCCAGGTTAACCTGTTATAGAAAACTCTCTTGAGTCTTTAAATTCTATACCAATTCTCACTGAATAGCTTTTACTGAAATGAGGCAATATTCATCACAGTTTTACTAAAAGTAAAGGCAAAAAGAAAAAAGGAGATTCATAATTTCATATTCATTCACATCGTACATTCTCCAACTCCTATGATTAAGGAAGTGCATAGACACATATCATTAATTAGATGCCTCACCATAAGGAGGGATGGGCCTAGATATAATCTGTGTGAAGAAGCAACATGTGCATTTCATTTACTCTGCAATTTTTAAATTTCATTATCAGCACTGCATATAATCCAGTATTTTAAAAGATCCCACTAAGTAAATGATGCTAATATTACAGAAAAATGCATGTCCCTACGTACCTCCTTTCACTGACAGTATTGAAGGCTAAAACAGATAGTCTCAGAGGCAAATTATCCCAGTTGCTATAAGGAAATCATCCTCTAACTGACTGCCAGCCCTACAGCAGACTAATCTCTAGGCACACTAAGCCAACTCACTCTTTATTAACAAAACAATTTGAAATGTTCTATGTCTGAGGTCTGTGTTGCACTATTCCATACTCTCCTTACTTCTCAGGTCCCTTTTTTTCCTCCTGTTCCCTAACTATGGGCATCCAAATTTCTCTACTTAACTCCATTCTTTCTATATGCGGCTTCCCACTGTGATCTCCTACAACTTCAACTGTCATATCGGTGGGAAAACTCCCAAACCAAGACCTCCAGTCCACCTTTCTCCTGAACTCTAGGTACTTGAAATACACATGTCTAAGAAAAATTAATTAAGGCCTCACACTGTCCCAAACCAACTCTTTTAAATTCTCTATTTCTTTTCATGGTAATACCATCCTTTTTAGAACCAAGTCTTGTAACCTTAAAAATCAATTCTGACTCATCCTTCGCCCGTACATGCAATCAGACAGTCCTGCTGATGCTTTTCTCAAAAAACAGAGCTACTGACAATAAACTGAAATAAGAACCTGAAAGAAAACTAGATTTCATTCCTAAACATATTTATCTGTATCAAACTCCAAAACTTTCATAAGCTATCATTTCATCTGAACAATGGGAAGAATGTAGTTGCCCTACCTATTTCACAATAAACAAATACATAATGGCACCCTGAAAATCCTCAACCATTATGTAAATATATTACCTCGTCTTCCTACCCCCTCCTGCTGTCACCCTAGTCTAATCATCTATTCAGTTACTTATTCATTCATTCACTCATTTTTTTCTTTAATTATAGGTCCAAGTACAAGCCAGGTACTATGTTCAGCATTTAAAACATAACAACAGAACAGATACACCCTTACATAACTTACAGTCTAACATGAAAGTCAGAAAACAGGTACATGTAGATGGGAGAAGGTTCTCTGGGAAAACTTCCCAGAAAAAGAAATATTAAAGTAAAAAACAATACATAAAACAAACACGAGTCTATATGTTAAGGGTGTGGGGGAGAGCAGCAGTAGTAAAAAGATGAGCAATTTGAGGCAAAGGAAACAACACTTATACCCCTCAAACAAGAATGAGCATCCTAACAGTGCCATCCTCTTTTCCACATTTATACCTTTATTCCATGCATTTTTCTCCCTTCAAAATCTTTCTCCATTCTTATCTCTGCCTATTGAGATTAAATTCATCCCTCAAAGCCCAGATATATGATATGTAACCAGTTTCAAGGATAATACTTGATTCATGTGAGGCATGAAGTAACATTTGCTAAAGGAATGGATGACAAAATCATCATTCTTCCAAAATCACAAATCTGCTTCATATTACATACACACATACACTTGCCTTGTCTTTCCTTGAAGTAAAGACATGTCCACATAGTGTCTCATGCATAAAAGGTACTAAAAAATATTTGTAAAATGAATAATTCTAATAATCTGAGACAGACCTGTTAAAGAATATCTTCATCTTCAACTCCTGACTTTACAATAATTTGGCAGAAAAAAAAGAAAACACAAACTAATATTTAGACATGAATTATATTAATACTGAACATTAGGTCTTCCACAAAATACTTCTCAATAATGGAATTTATTTTTGTATTTCATTTCTTAAATGACTTAATTCTTAATATTTTTGAGTGATTTTTCTATAGAAATACTTCTAAATTTAAATACTGTGTGGGGATAACAAATAATTTTTAGAATATTAAGAAGAAGAAGAAGTCTTTAATTAATGAACTGGACACTCTAAAAAAATTACTTGGCATTTCACCTTTCTAAAACTAAAACAAATTTGGAAATGCAAATTGTACTTTAATTCCATTCAATGCTGATGGTATCATTTTTAGAATCATGCCTCAAGTCACCATTTTCAGAATTTGTTATGCAATTCATAATTAGTTATGCAAAAAACTAGGTTAAATTTGGGTCATTCCATTTATCAGATTAAAGAAGGCAAAGTGCAAAGGTAGAAAGGTGCTTTCAAAAGAAAGATAGAATAAGAAAAACATTCATAGTTACTCTATAGTACCTGCAGGAAAAGCAGCCCAAGGAATGGCAGGAGATGTAGTTTGGGTTTCCCCATTTCCACCATCAAAAATCTCTGCAGCCTATAAAACAAAGACAAAATTATTTTAGAAAATCTGAAAAGTAGAAATGTTATTTAAGCAATTAAGCCTCCCAATTCTACAAGTATAATTCTCTGTAATACAGTACACATTTTCAAATTTCCTCTGAATACTAAATTGTTTTTTAGTCTTCAGTGCTACCATCTCCAACTACTAGTCACTGCCCCCAGTGCGTGTGCTCTGTCCTTGAGTAAAGTTTTCCTTCCTTACTCAGATATATTTCCTGTCAATGAAATTTTATTTTACATATCCTCAGTTTCATTTCTGAACCTGCAATATTTACCTATGTACATAAGAAAAATACATTACTTTTCTTCAAAAATATAGACACTAAATCTTTTTATTTAATTATCACAAGATCAAAAAGAGATTAAAGAAACAAGATTTACCCATATGCTTTAATAATATACCAGGCTTCCCTTGTGGCTCAGCTGGTAAAGTATTCGTCTGTAATGCAGGAGACCTGGATTGGATCCCTGGGTTGGGAAGATCCCCTGGAGAAGGGAAAGGCTACCCACTCCAGTATTCTGGCCTGGAGAATTCCCTGTATAGTCCATGGGGTTGCAAAGAGTCGGACACGACTGAGCATCTTTCACTTTCACTTTAATAATATACCAGCTGGGCTTACCAGCATTTAACATTTAGAAAATTCCTAAACCTGACATTTAAATTAAACTCTCATTTTAAACAGTTTTAAACTATGAGACAGTCAATTACTGAATGTTGAGTTTGTGGGTAAGAGTGCAGAGTTTTCTCTCTCTTAAGTGTTCAGGTCACAGAAAAATTACTATTGAAAAAAAAGGGCCAGAATTTCAATTTGGATTCTGCATTGAGTTGTCGGCCAAAAAGACAGTCAATTGGGCAATTGACAAGCAATTGAGGGAATCTGCCACAGGAGTTAAGTGATGTTGAATACACAAGCTACTCTCTACAAACTATGAAAAATGTGCTAAGTCACTTCAGTCATGTCCGACTCTGTGATCCAATGGACTGTAGCCTGCTAGGCTCCTCTGTCCATGGGATTCTCCACGCAAGAATACTAGAGTGAGTTGCCATGCCCTTCTCCAGGAAATCTTCCCAACCCAGGGACTGAACCCACTTCTTAGTCTTCTGCACTGGCAGGTGGATTATTTACCAATACTACCACCTAGGAAGCCCCACAAGTCATGAGGGAAGGCCAAAAAAATAAAATAAAATAAAAATACTGCATATTCCCTGACCTAGCCATTCCATTTCTAAGAATTCATCCTAAACCTATAATTGTAAAAATTTACCCAAAAGAGTGTATACCAAAAGGTTACTTATACTAGACAATCACTGGATACAATCTAAACATTTACCAAAAACCTGATTAAATAAACCATCTTTTACTCATACACTGGAATTCTCTAGAGCCATTAAAAATGTTTTAGAAAAAAATCTTAATAACATCTAAAATACGTTCACATAAAAATACAGATAGTGCTTGTCTAGCAAAAAACTATATATTTACCTAGAAAAAAGGTAAGAAAGACAAAAAACAAATTAAAAACAAGGTTTTCTAGTGGCAATTTTTATTCATTTGGCTATTAGTTGTTTTTCAATTTTTCTGCTTTAAAAATACTTCTAAAAGTAGAATACAATTATTTTTTAACTGTATTAAAAATCATTTCAGAATATTCTATCAATGCTTAATTCACTGACATTGATAACTGTACTGTTGTTAAGCAAAAGAATATCCTTATTCTTAGGAAATATTAACACACACTGAAATATCTAGGAGTAAAGAATCATAATGTATTTAACTGATCTTCAAATGTCTCCTCCCAGAAAAGTTTATATACCCAAGGATAGAAACCTTTCATATTTCTACAACAGAATGTATAAAGAAAGAATCCCAGCAACCATAATTAAATTGGAATGGTTGGTTAGCACTGTACCTGTGTAATATTCAAAGGAATAGTTCCACTGAATATACACTGAAGTATAACTGTTACTCTAGAGAATACTATCCACTCTTATTTCTCTGATAAAATAAATCAAGAAACATAATAAGATTCAATCACCCAACAACCCAAAATACTAGAGCAAATGCAGAAAGCATATCAATGTGCTAAACAGAAAGTTTTAGATGAAATGCAGAAATAGGTAAGTTCATATTCTAATTATTTCCATATTAACAGATATTAAAGAGCAACAAAAGAGAAACTGATCCTAACCTAAAATAAACTCATACCATTCTTTCATGACATTCAGAACACTGAATATATACTAATGTCTCATTTCTCCTATTGTAATGTCATCAATTACAGTCACTATCTTTAACAATCTCCTTTTCACCAAGTTCCAAACTAGATAAAAGTCTTTCTTAAAAAAAAAAAAATCACAGAGCTCACTTGATGGTAGTTCCAGGACTTGAGCTCAGGCATCCTGACTCCTAATCCAGAGATTTTCCTGCAAGACTATACTGGCTCCATAAAAATAATAGGGTTACAAAATATTTCAATAAAACGAACACACACTGAAAAGGATTAAGGAAAAGACAGGACTTCTTCAGTTAACAATTTCCTTACAAAGCATCCCACTAAAACCTGAGAGAATAATCTAACAACACAAACACACTAATTAGCTCTGTAAGCCACAAAAAGACGATGTACTTAATACACTAAATCAACTCATTACAGGCATAAACATGAAAATATGTCACAGATCTTCAACACTCATCCCTCATCTCACAAGTATTTCCTAATAGATATGTATCCCAACAGAACCATCTGCTGACAATTTCTCAAATCTCTTCTTTAGTGCTTCCACCAGTAGCACTTAATTACCTCAATTTAAAACATTCCTATGGGTATGATCAAGTGTTCAATAATAATAAATCAATTTTAACTTTCAGAGGGAATATATTTTAATTTTTCTGCATTTCATTTTTTTACTCCAGAGTTACATTGAAAATGATCAAGAAAGGATCATGAACATCAATGATTAATAATACATTTAAAACAATTACACAAGTAAAATAAGGCAAATAATAGCACATACCTCAAAACCACCAAAATCATCATCATCCATTCTTTAAGTGCACCTGAAAAACAGAAGACATTGAAACAAGCCCACACACATAGTCATTTATGTCAAAACACTTCTCTCACTTAAGGGTATATACATTTTGATTTGGTTTTTTGATTTGTAAATTAGAACTATTTCATTTGGGTTAAGAAAATGATTTAATTAAATGCATATGCATTTTTAGCACAAAAAGACTGAGTTTTTTTTTTTTACAAAATTAGCCATTCTGGCAATATTAACAATTTCTGTGACTTTTTCAGCAACCATGTATTTTGCCATTTTGTGTTGAGACGCCAGGAGTGGAAAAATATTCTTTTACATTTTAATTTGCTTTTCCCAAATTGGCACTAGGGCTCAATTCAATAATGCTTCCTGCTTTTTGCATCTATTCCTCAGTTGTCTGGCAACATCAGCACAAACTCCAGCTAAGAACAGGACTGTGGTGAATTTTTGGAAATCTGTCCCACACCACAAAGGTTCTTCCCTTGGTTTCATGGCCGAGGTTGATTTAGATTTTCAAAATTGATCAGCATTTTTGAGCTGTGGCCACAACTTCTGGAGCATTTTGATATGTGTATTTTTAGCTGAAACTGCTTTGCACTTTTGGAAAAATGTGGAGCAAGTTACTAGGCTGATCAAGATAAATCAAGTCATGTATTCATGGAGACCAAGGAAAAGAAAAACACAAGCAAATATCCAGAATACCTCTCTTCTTTATCCTTAAAATATGTAAGTGAGACAAGCAGTGGGATAATACATGCTTTATTCTGTCCTAAATGCATACTATAAAAATAAAAGAGTAAAACTATGAGTGCCTGGGCTTTAAAAAAAAAGAAAAAGAGAAAAAGGAGATGCTTTCATCGAACAAACCGTGAAAGAACTAAAAAACCTAGAAAGGTAAAACAAGTAATAAGTGATATATATCCAAACAAAACTAAATTTACAATAAATTGTGAATTGGTGGACAGAAGTCACACTCTGGTCACTAACTGGTTTTTCTTTTCTATCTTTCAAAAGTGGACATATTCAAATATTAATTACAGCTTTCTTGACTCAATAATACAAGATGGACTTCTTTACAGAAAATCTTCTCCAACTTCTAAAAAAAGAACAAAAACAGCTAAGCAAATTAAACTATATATGCTAAGCAATAATTCTAAAGGTATTTTCTAAGACATTTTACTCTGATAAAGCAGCTGTCATGCTTTACCTTGTCACCAAAATTACTACTGTTTGTGCACATGCTCAGTCATGTCCAGCTCTTTGCAACCCCAGGGGCCACAGCCTGCCAGGCTCCACTGTCCATGGGATTTATTAACACTAATGCCTTGAAAAATAAAACTCAAAAACAGTCAAAGAAAAGTAAACAGTAAAAAGCAATCTCAGGATCATTTTAATAGACAAAGAAAATTTATTTTCACAGAAACTCAGTAGGCAATGACACTATAAGAAATATACAGATAGAAATATTCAATACATTATAAAAATGGACATACCAGAATATAATACCAGTATTGTCACCATTACCCACAATTTAACAATCTGTTGAAAAATTTTCAAAAGATGTACTTCTCCAAAAATCAAAATGAAGCAAATCATACACTTAAAAAATATGAACCAGACTTTCAGAAACTTTTGATGGTGGTTAGTTTGAAATGGAATTCACAATTCTGATGCAAGTGAGTAGAAATCTGTGTGTGCTTACATTTTTCATGAAGAAATTATGAAAGAAGAGTGATATGGATTAACCAAGGCAAACTATAAACACCAAGTTTGTCTTTTCCATGTGTCCCACAAATCTCACGAGACAATTAAAAGCTATTTTTAGCATCTGCAAACACTGTACCCAAATAATTTGGTTTCAAAAGAATGGAATTTTTAAAGTAATGCATCTATGTGTTTTCATATGACACAGTCCAATAAGTTATTTGTTAAGATACCAGAAAATTTGAAAACAAGAACAAATACCCAATCATTCCAGCTTGTTTGCCTGTGGTAATCAACCAAATACCATCAGCTTCCTAAGTACCGATTTAGCTCTACAAAAGAAGATGTTAGTGACCACAGATGCTTTCCATATCCCAGCAATTATTACATATTAAAATGCAGATGAGTTTTCCGGTATTTTATTTTGAAAGAAATATTAATATATTTTAAGAGGCAAATGTGTCCTGAGTTTCTTAAAATACAGTACTAGAGTAATAAAGATTATTTTAAAGTAACAGTCTTTCTCTGAATAATTTAGCTTCAAATTCTGAAATAGTTTCTGTTCCCTTCTGAACATTTTAAAGAGCAGGAGGAAGCAAAATTAACAGCACTGATTTGTCAAAATCAACTTTACAAAATACAAAAACTAAAAATTAGTTTTTAAAGGAAATATTACAAGTGTGGGCTTCTTTATGGATTTAGTTATTCCAATACATTTAGAACACTTCTTCATCTACAGTGCATTTATTAACCTTTTAGAAGACTTCCAGCACTTAACATTATTTTCCTGAAGAACAAATATAATAAAGCAACACCAAATATTTCTGTCATATAAGTTATAGGATCATGAGCCTGGCCAAAAAATTGGCATATCTATATCATGGCAAGTGGAGAGATGAACACTTTGTTATGATTAGCTATCTTATGTTGAAAGATTTCATAAAATCCAGGTTTAACAATGGACATGACTTAGTGACTGAGCAACGACAATTCTCAGACTTCTTTATATCAGAATTTAATCTCTTTTTTGTGTTATTGTATTAATTCTCTCCTAAATTACCCTCAGTATTTAATATATTGCTGATATTTCACAAGAAAAACATATACACAACACTTAGAAAAGAAAAATGTGTCAGTCGCTCAGCAGTGTGCGACTCTTTGTGACCCCATGGACTCTAACTCACCAGGCTCCTCTATCCAGGCACAACGCTTAATGTAACATTTTTACTGAGCAACTCTACAGAAGGGATCACTCAAGGTCTGAAGTTACAGTCTGCTGTAGACCAGAGGGCAACGTGTAAGAAGAGCATGCAAATATAAATAACACAAAATATAAAAGGGTCTTACAAAAGAAGAACATCATCCAAGGTGGGAAAAATTTTTCAGAAGTTGGAGCATCATGAAATCCTTCAGGTAAAAGGAGACAACTGAAATTTATTTCAAGAGACTTAGCAGAGAATTTAAAATGGCACATGGATTATACTCAAGTCTTTTCCTAAAATCTTTTCCTAAGAGATAGCAAGGAAGGATTGGATTGTTTGCTTCCACATAAACAAAGGTCAAAGAGTAGGTAAAAAGAAAAAAAACTGGAAAAAAAAAAACCAGAATGTAAGTACAAGGAAGACGAATCTTACACTATCAGTGGAGAAAATGAGAATCAGTCACATTTGTATCAGGGAAACCACAAAAGGCTCAGGAATGGGCAGCACTGAAAGACAAGTAAAGATGAGACTCAACATAAGAATCACAGATATATCCCAAGATTCCCTCCCAGAATTGGCACAACTGGGCAATTAACAATTCCTCATCACAGAAGAAGACTGAAGGTTTAATCCTTGGACAGTATAAAAGCAAGAATCTCCAGACTGGAAGATCAGAGACAGGTGAATAAATCAAAATTGTATTAAATTTTGAGACACAGTCCCCCATCTTCTTTCACCACTCAGCAACCAAACTGCCAGTTGCAGGTCTTCAACTTCTGAACAGTAGATTATAAAATTCTTCTCTGATCGAATCTAATCACTCCCTGACAAAGGACCTCACCAGACATTCCACAAAGATACAGCTCACTCAGGTAACACTACTTTGACAAATCCTACCCATATACGGGTCAAGAAGCAACAGTTAGAACCCTGTATGGAACAACTGATTGGTTCAACATCAAGAAAGGTGTTTGAAAGGGCTGTCGGCTGTCATCCTGTTTGTGTAATCTACATGCTGAGCACATCATAAGAAATGCCAGGCTAGATGAATTACAAGCTGGAATCAAGATAAGCGGGAGAAATATCAACAACCTCAGATATGCAGATGATACCACTCTAATGGCAGAAAGCAAAGAGGACTAAAGAGCCTCTTGATGAGGGTGAAGGAGGAAAGTGAAAGAGCCAGCTTAAGACTAAATATTAAAAAAAAAAAAAAAACTAAGATCATGGCATCTGGTCCCATAACTTCATGGCAAATAGAAGGGGAAAAGGTGGACGTAATGACAGATTTCCTCTTCTTGGGCTCCAAAATCACTGCAGACACTGTCTGCAGCCATGAAATCAGAAAACAATTGCTTCTTGGCAGAATAGTGATGAAAAACCTAGACAGTGTGTTGAAAAGCAGAGACATTACTCTGCCGACAAAGGTCAGTATACTCAAGGCTATGATCTTCCCAGTGGTCCCATATGGTTGTGAGAGTGAAAAGTGAAAGTCACTCAGTTGTGTACAACTCTTTGCAACCCCACGTACTGTAGACTGCCAGGCTCCTCTGTCCATGGAATTCTCTAGGAAGAATACTGGAGTGCGTAGCTGTTCCCTTCTCCAAGGGATCTTTCTAACCCAGGGATAGAACCCAGGTATTCCGCACTGCAGGTGGATTCCTCACCATCTGAGCCACCAGGGAAGCCCATGGTTGTGAAAGCTGGACCATAAAGAAGGCAGAATGCCGAAGAATTGATGCCGTCAAAGTGTGGTGCTGGAGAAGACTTCTGAGAGTCCCTTGGACAGCAAGGAGATTAAACCAGTCAATCTTGAGAGAGATCAGCCATGAATACTCACTGGAAGGACTGATGCTGAAGCTGAAGTTCCAGTATTTTGGTCAGCTGAAGCAAACAGATGACTCACTGGAAAAGTCCCTGATGCTGGTAAAGACTGAAGGCAGAAGGAGAAGGCATCAAGAGGATGAGATGGCTAGACAGTATCATCGATGCAATGAACATGAACTTTGAGCAAACTCCAGGAGATGGTGACGGACAGGGAGGCCTGGTGCGCTGCAGTCTACAGGGTCGCAAAGAGTCAGACATGACTGGGCT